ATAACAATAAAAAATAGTATTAAATGGTCATAGAAGTGGAATCAAATCTATTCAGTTCTCTCCTGATGGCATCTTATTAGCATCTGGCAGTGTGGATAATACCATCCGGTTATGGAATGTTAAGACATATCTATAATAATCATTATTAAGTGGTCATAGTGATTGGGTCAATTCAGTATCCTTTTCGCCTGATGGTACAAAATTGGTTTCTGGTAGTGGAAATTCTGATGAAGGTAAAGATTGTTCAGTCCGTTTATGGGATGTTAAGACAGGAAAATAAAAAGCCAAATTGGAGGGCCATACTAGAATTGTCTTATAAGTATGTTTTTCTCCTGATGGTACTAAAGTAGCATCTGTTAGTTGGGATAAGTCTATTCGTCTATGGGATGTTAAGGCAAGTATAAAAGATGAATTCACTGATAGATGTTACAAAGATGTTAGAGCATAATTTAAAACTCCTCTGTTTTAATAGAATCCTTGTATTGAAGGTAGTATTTATTTTAGTGATATTTAGCCGACATTTATATGCCAATAGCCCTTATATCCCAAACACCAATATTTTAAGCATTAGGAGCTTTTATTTTTAAAGGAGAATTCGTCAATTATTAAGGAGTAGACTTAAGATCATTATTTAAATCTTTAGGAAGTATTTTTTTGGAAAGTAAATTAGATCATCAACAACAGGAAAAATGATGATTAGCCAAATTTATATTTTTTAATTAAAATTGTTGTTATACATTATATTGTTAAATTCAACTAAATTATTCTTAATCAAAAATATAATTTAGATTAATTAAATATAGTATTGTTCTGTATGTTTTAAAATTGGTTAATATCTCGGTTCAATAAATTTAGTTTAAATTTCATATTAAGGATTGCCTAAAGTAATTATTAAATTATAAATGATGGTTGTGGTTAACATCGAATTGATTTGATACGAGCTGAACATATTCCATTATGAAATACTGTATATTATTTTTCAGCCAAATTAAATGGTCATACTCATACAATCTAGTCAGTTTGCTTCTCACCTGATGGTACCTAATTGGGATCAGCAGATGGTCATGAAATATCACAAAATTCAGCAAATAACTCTATCCGTTTATGGGATATTAAGACAGGATAAGATAAAACTATATTGTATGGTCATCGTGGAACTGTCTACTCACTATGCTTCTCTCCTGATAATACTATGATAGCATCTGGTGGTTATGATAAATCTATCATTGTATGGGATGCAAAGACAGGAAGGTAAAAAGCCGAATTTTATGGTCATTGTGAAATTATCTATTCAATATGCTTCTCTAATGATTGCAATATATTAGCATCTGGAGGTAATGATTATTCCATCTGTTAATGGGATGTTAAGACAGGATTATAGAATGAAAAATTGGATGGTCATTCTGGTTATGTCTACTCAGCATGCTTCTCTCCTGATGGAGCAACATTAGCATCTGGGGGTGTGGAGAAAACTATCCGTTTATGGGATATTCAGACAGGATAATAAAAAGTCGAATTGTGTGGTCATTCATATGGAATCTTATCAGTATGCTTTTCTCCTGATGGTACTTAAATTGCATCTGGTAGTTGGGACTAGTCCATCCGTTTATGGGATGTTAAGACAGGGAAATAAAAAGCTAAATTGGATGGTCATGTTGATTTTGTTTTATCAGTATGCTTCTCTCCTGATGGTGAAACATTATCATCTGGTAGTAGAGATGAATCTATCCGCTTATGGAATGTTAAGGCAGGAGAATAAAAAGCCAAATTAAATGGTCATACTCATTGGGTTAATTCAGTATGCTTCTCTCCTGATAACATTACATTAGCATCTGGTAGTATGGATAAATCCATTCGTTTATGG